CCGCAGGACGTGCAATTGACCATCTTACCATATCACTTAGTAGTAACCCTCGACTGGCAGTATTTTGTCTCGACCTTGGAAGGTACTGGGAGGTGATCTTTAATGCTTTTCTTCAGCGGTGGGTTTCAGTTGGCTTATTTGCTTCCTATGCATACAATCTTGGCTAACAGAATAGTGAAGGTCATTGTAGTCATTAAACTCTCGAAGAAAACTATATACAAGGATCTATTTCTTCTTATCTTGCGCCTGTGTCGCCGTGTTGACTTCAAGCCTCTGTGCCTGAATCATCTGGTCGATGGCATCCTCCGTCTTCAAATACGTGCGGTTTCCTTGAACGAACCAGAATCCAACGGCGACCACCAGCATCACTCCAAACACGGCGATCGCATAATTCATATCGCTGGGTGAAGGGTTCGGGGACCCGGGGAATAGGAAGAATACTGTCGTAATAATGCAGTAGATAATGCTGACCCAGTTGATCAGCGTCCCCCACCGTCCCAGATGGAACTGGCCCGGTGGAAGCTTATCGCGCCCAACTACCAGAAGAGCAGCAATGGGAAGACCATATGAGATGGTCAAAGCGATCGTACTAACACTCAGAATCGCATCGAGCACCGTGTTAGCGAAGAGATAAAGAATTCCGACCAATGCAATCCAAAAGCCCTGAAACCAGAGTGCTCGTGCCGGAACCTTCCATACCGGATCGACCAGCATGAAGTATCCGCTCCAAGGTAAGCCACCATCTCGTGCAAAGCCCCAAGTTAGTCGGGAAGCGGTCGTTAGAATACTGATTCCTTGGCCCAGGCCATTAAAGATGAATAAAGCGATGAGAGTGGCCCCACCTTCCAGGCCTACTGTCTCCACCATCAACTCCATGAACGGCAGGCCGGTTGGAGAGTTGATGACCTCGTTGATGTCCTGGATGCAAAACAAGCAGACCATCATGAAGATAAAACCAGTGATGGCCCCCATGAGTACGGAAAGCCACATGACTTTCGGGGCATTGCGACGCGGGGCGGGAATCTCCTCGACCATATGAATAACGGCATCAAAAGCCGTAAGACCATAGGCGGCCTGCACTAGGCCCGTGAACCAAACGACCCCGTTTCCCCAACCGGTTTCGTTCATCCAAGCTCCAAAGACGAAAGACGCTGGTTGGAAGGAGAGATCTTTCTTCACGCCGACGGAAATGAGCAGCGCAAGTGACAAGACGACGAATAGGCCGGTAAACCATATGCCGACAAAGTTGTTGAGCCATGGGAGGACCTTTTCCTTCCTACAGCCGACTAGGTTGATGACAGTTAACACCAGAACTGTGCAAATGTAGACGACGAAATTTAGCCACCCAGTGCTGGCCCCGCCCCAAGAGTTATCGAACATGACTTTCATGCCCAGGAGGAACTCGGCCATGAAAGCAACCTGGGACGCGGTCAAGGTCCACCAGCCGAACATGTTGATCCATGCGCACATGTACGAGGTGAATCGACCCAGCGGAGTGTCCCAAAGTCGAAACACCCAATACGCCTGGCCCAGAGCGGTCGGCATACTACTGGTGAGCTCTCCAAGCGAAACTGCGACACACAGGTTGCAGGCCGTGACCAGCACGAGACCCCAAAGAATGGTTATGGAGCCGCCATTGGTGAGGCCGCTATCCAAATCCTGTGCGAAAGTAGAGTAGGTGCCTGGTCGCAACGGTTAGCTGCCGTTCTTGGCGCCCCGGTGGATGCAGCGCGCACAGAGCACACGAAAAATTCCGACGATCGGGCAGGACTAACCTAAGACACAAAACGCGAGAGACAACATGCTCCAAATGTCAAATTTTCGAGTCATGGCCTGGTCATGGCCCATGGCCGCAAGATCGTGAGCATCTTGAACGCTCTGGTCGACCGACTGGATCGGTTTGATCGGCCCGTTGTTTTCCAAGTCCATCGGCATCCGGAAATAAAATGGATGAAAATGCACAATCACAAATAATCAATTCAGCCAAGCGGGAGAGCAACGAGATCGATGGACAAGTTGTGCACCCAATTGTCCATTTTCTGCAATTTCATATAACTGGCTTTAGGTGCTGAGGGGACGGTTCATATATGAACAAGTCTAAGGATGCAAGGGCATGGGGATTCTCGGGCTTCCCCTCACAAGGCCAGCATGCTTAGTTCGGAAAGGTAAGATGGTTATCAGAATGATAATGACCAAGTTAATGATCAATTGGTCATGGAAGAGATGCTCGTGAGTGGACAAGATAGATAAGTTGTCGATAAGTGAAATTTTTTTCCGTCTTTGACTTTTGACTTTTGCGGGGGCTGGTTTTTTTAGGCTCGGCAGGACTTCCCAAGTGGGGATGGCAGCTTCGGGCATCCAAAGGCCTGTTGCAGTGACCGAGGAGCTCGACTCTGAGCAGCGCTCAGACAGGCTATGGTCGTGATATTTGCCTCGTATACTCATTGTATAGCAGCGGTTTACTCTCAGGCGACCACCGCCTTCTTACGGCCATGGGTCCTATCCGGTCTTTCGGTCGCCCTGCTCAAAGCATTCTCCAATTCAAGGAATTACCATCTTCCCAGTCTGCTATTGTTGCTCTCTTAAAATGGCAGCTACGTCTATCAACTCGCAGGTCGCATCGAAGTTTCAGCTCGTCCCTGCATTCCTGGAATTCGATCCCAGATCATCATCGTCAGTCTCTCCGTCACCTGTCCCAATCGGGCAGGTCTATGCGGAGGCGATAACCGCGTCCGGGGCACTGATTGTCGATCCATCCGAACCATTATCTCCCCCCTGATTAATTAAGATGCGATATGTGGCGAATCCTTGATATTATGGCCAGTATCAGAATTCAATGATGAGTTGTCCTCATCTCAGTCGCTCACCCTGAGACTCAACAACCCACGTTCAAAGACGCAGTTGTTACAGAGGTGTGTACAGCGTTCACCCCAGCTGGCGTTGTGGTACCACTAGCCCGAACTTTGTTACAGCCGACTTCCGATCCAAGAGAAGGGGGGATAATGCGGGGTGCTATGGCTGCGGCTGCCTGTTGGCGGCCTGGGCTGTCGATCGAGGTGTCATACATTGGAAGAGAACCCGCTAACTGTGGCGACCTGTCCGACAACGGAAATCGGTTTTCGATGGTGGCATTCGCCGAGTACATTCGCTAGCTATTCTATCTAATAGGCTAAGAACACCGAGGACATGCACATAGCTGCTGATAAGGCCGCTGTGTGTGGCTTTTAATAATCTAAATGCCCCATGCGGCCAAGATTGTTGATCGCGATTCGCCCATCGACTTTACCTCGTGCTACATATGCGAAGTCTGCATCCTCGTATGCAATAGCGGAAGCTTACGGCTACAAGCCAATTCTTACATGCTGCAGGGTTCTTAAGTCTAGTGTCTGAGAGTTCGATTCGAATATTCGAAGCTTTCTAGGTGCCCGACTGACTTCACAGGGGCTACGATGCTTTCAACTTCCAGGCACATTATGACATCCTACAAACACAATAAGATCGGGTCTCTGGATCTACCGTTATTCATGCTCTCAAATAGCTAACAAATGCAGGCCGGACCAGGATGGAAAAGGCAAATGCCATTCCACACAGTGACTGGATTCATCAGCATAAGTCTATCATGCATAGTTGTTTTGCAAGCCCTAAGGAGTCTGGACAAAATTAATCCCTCATCAGCGAAGGATATGCGACACCATTCGCGGGGTCGGCTCTGACAGCCTATCAGCGACGGAATCTGGTATGATGCCGCGTAGGCTACCCCAGAATGAGTGTATAGGCATACGTACGAGACGCAGTACAGGCGATGCGAAGTATACGCTGCGGTGTATTCAGCATCCCATCATCGTACCACAATAACCTATCGCACCCTAATGGCAGTCTCTATTACGAGATGATATATCTTCACCCTAGAAACAGCGGAGAGCATCGGGTACCTACTACCCAGTTGCTGTCATATGCCTGTTCTTAACCGAAGTACTTCTATCCGCTCCGTCCTCTTCCTTTGCATGGACCAGCGATACCCCAAGTCAATATAGCCGAAGGCTATTTATTTTACAGTCCTACTCGAGTGGCCCGGTTTTGGCACCTGGCGGGGGCCTTAAGCTTTATGGGCTATGGCAGGCTAATCTTTAGTTGTCGCGCTAATGGAAAGGCCAACCTGGGAAATACTTATCTGCTCGGATATGTCTTTCTTTCTCATAGGCGGTTGCTGCGGTGATTAGTATTACAGCAAAGCTCGAAACTCGCTTATATATTATAAGGGTACAGGCATTTTGCAGTGGGTTTGGGCGCACATCCGCTCAATCAAGCATACCAAGCATCTGGGGTCACCATTGCTACAGTATTCCCCCTTCCTTCAATTCTTAACGAGCCTCGGGATAGTTGCTTCACTCTGCAATGACTCAACAGTTGTTAGTCATCTATAAGATTGTCTATCGAATATAGCGATCGCTATCCATGCGCCACTCAACATGATTCTGACTGCGGCGATAGTCCGACCAAGGGCGGCGTATTTAGAGAGGTAGATGAGCGAATTCTGATACGGTTTACCGCATCCAGTTTGTAATCTATGTCTTTCAGGCATCCACTATTAGCGTATAAATCACGCAGGTAACTTGATAGCCAAGTCATGGTAAAAGGGAAATTCCAGAATGAATGAAGGCACACTTGGGCTGATCACGTGCGGATGGACCTCAGCATCACGTGTTTCATGTCCGTAGGAATCCAAAGACACTCTCTACCGTCTGATCGTATAGTAAGGTTGAATCCCTTGCATACAGGCTCCAGTACTTATGTGCTGATGGAGGAGTCGAAGTGTCTACTCCAAACCCGAAGAAGGCTCGCTGTTAACGTTAGTTAGTTAGTTACCGCTTTTGTGGATGAGCTAAGACAAGTGTGAGACAGATCAACACCGAACTATGCCTAAAAGTACTGACGCTCGACCTCGAAGCGCCCTGGCCCCTCAACCATTCTCCTTCCCTCCCCCAACCTTCTTACCGCAATCACAATGTCTTCAGACTCGAAACCAGCCATATTCACTTACGCCGACTTCGACCTTCAAGCACTGTGTCGTCGGGCGAGCACACTACGGCAGGGTATTTCATGTACCTGTGACCAGGACAAATATCCTGCCTCGGGGAGCTTCAACTGGGCCATCTTTATTTCATTTGAAGATGGGGTACGATGGGTCTTTAGGGCCCCACATCCCAGAACGTTCATGCCACTTGAGATGGGCGTGAAGTTACTGGCCAGTGAAGCTGCCACTCTCCGGTACCTCAAAGTTCATAGCGATATTCCAGTCCCAGAAGTATACGACTACTGGTAACGAATTAGCCCCCGGCACACGTCCCTCCACTAACATATTGCAGTGCTTCTTCCGACAATGAGATTAAAATCCCTTTCATTCTAATGAGTGAAGCACCTGGTCAGCCACTTTCAAAAGCTTGGAAATCAGTCGGTTCTCCCGAGTTAGACCTCGACAGCTCCGCCAAGGCCAAGGTCCTCGCCCAGCTGGGCGATATTACCTGGAAACTTTCGCAATTACGGTTCGATAAAATTGGCTCTCTCTTTGAAGAAGACGGGGTTTACACGATTAAGGAGTGTCTATCACGCGGCCACATGTTGCACGAACGGTTCCGATTAGAGGTTTCGCGTGGCCCTTTCGCTTCTGAGTCCGAATTTTATGAGAGCCTTCTCTCTGTATTTCTGCAGCATGCGGAAGCTCTCCAGTTGTCCCATCATTGCTTTGCGGCCCCTGTCCCTGCATGGGAAGACTATGGATCTAACTCACAATATAAGGGTGCTGTGGGCCTATGGAATGACTTCGTCACTGTTGGGTGCAAAATTGATACAGCAGAGAACAGGCTGGATTACATCATTGCAGGGAATGCCCTTCGCGATATACTAGGCACATCATGGCTTTCTTCCGTCAATCAGGCGGGCTTTCCTCTGTGCCACGCTGATCTCAGTGTCAATAATATATTTGTGGATGACGATTACAACATTACGTGTATCATTGACTGGGCATTCGCATCATCTATTCCTGAATCTATGCTGGTGGCTCCTCCAGGGTTGCCACAATATCGCGACAAGCTCAGTTCAGAATTGCAGACGGCCTTCATAGATGGCTTTTTCGCTGCTATACCTGGATCAACGGAGGAGGAGGTGGTGCACAGATGTCGTGAATCAGTTGGACAGGGCCGACTATCATGGCCGTTAAGTCGGCTCCTTAGCCATGACACCATCGCTGAGTACGATCTCTTTGCTGACATTTGGCACTCTACCCGTGGTTTCGAAATGGACATAGGACAATACTTCTTGCAACAACGACGTCTGCCACGATACATACAGCTCTATGATGAGGTTCGAGAAGAAGACCAGCCGCTGTCAAAAATCGAAAAGGATGAAAAACAATATTTCCACAACAAAGTATTCAGACACACATTAGCCAAAAAGCTGACATTCAATGCCCAATGGAAGGCATCGTATACTCCCAATGATCCTCCCAGACTTCGCCAAGACATGTTTGTTGCCTCGCCCAAATTATGGAAGTGGGTTCAGCAATTTGTGCAGGACTGGGAAAACATGTCTTGATCTGTCTACCTCAACCGGATGCGCTCGACTGGGACCGCCCAGAGAGTCCAAGTATCATCATCTCTAACCTTCGCGAGATTAGTTCATCTGACGGTTATTGGTCAGTTTTAGCTACAAGGCTAGTTTCGATAGCTATGTGGGAAGTCAATATCGGTTGTACGACTGATCATCGTTGCAATCCTTCCATCCGCGCGCGCGCTTAAAGCATTAATGTCACAGATGTTGTCGGTGGGCACTGCTAACCATCAATCCTGGGCCAACCGATTCAGAGTTTGACATGACAATGTTACCTCGTTTCCTACCCTCCTCTTCCTGTTATTAGAGCTATCCCAGAAGTTATAGCATTGCCTCATGCATCGAAAGAAAATCTAGATTCCTTCGGCTTAAACTTGGGGCGCTTATGAGCGCCAGCTTAATGCTTCTGTTGGTGGAGATGCAACGATAACAGGATGAGTGAGGGCTGAGAAAAGTAGTGGATTTTATTGTCGAAGGCGCGAAACTTTGGGCACGGTTTTACTCGTTTTTGGACGATACAAGGTGACGTTTCCCTAAGCCTGTGAGTAATCAGGTTATTGTCCCAGCATGCCTTACAATCTGCTCTACAAAGGTTTACTCCTTAGGCAGCTCGGCGAAGTTGCTAGAATTTATCATGTAATGGTACTACTACTAAGTACGAGTGAGCAATGATGGAAGGAAGGGTGGGGTGGGGTTCAACTACTAGTAAGTACTAGTTGTTCACTGCCCCCTTCTCTCTCCTCTTGGAGATTGTGAAGATTACTAGTGATTTCTCATGTCAAACAGTTCCCTTTCACATGATTAAGTAATATGAATAATGGGAATGATATTTCAAAGTGATAAAATTGTTTCTCCTTGCGCTTGAACTGAACAGCTGAGGTGCTTGAACTAAGTCGAATTTTCTGGCAGTGGGTGTGGAGATATATATCAATCGTACAAAAACTAAGTACTACTATCACAAGTAGCGCTTGCTAAATAGTATCATTATCTGACTTGAACACAGAGTATTCGTCGTAACACCAGCATCAGCCACCAAACTAGTGCCAAATAGATGAGAAAACAGAACCCCTTAAATTGAACGAGGCTATACTCGAATCGGGTCTTCAGTATATGATTACATTGCCAGCTATAAACCTCTGTACTGAGGAGGGGAAACCCGTCGGCCAAAGTAGAGTTGCAGCGCGGTCATGTGAATGAAAGAGCGGGTCAAGTTCCCAAAAGGAGTGCTTGTTTTCTAATTTCTAGTGACACTACAAGATCTGAGTCGAGTTATGTCCCATATTTGTAGAGAGAAGGTGGTTGGCATACACAATACCAGTATTCTTTAGCTGCCGGCTATACCGACCGGTAAACGGTCTGCATCTGGACTAAGGAACACCGACTGTGGTGCGCCGAAGTCATGTAGCGCCCTATAATTTGACCAGATCGATAGAGTTATTCTAGTAGACTGCCAATTGATGGTGATACTCTTCAGGATCAACTTGAACCCCCAAGGAAGGTTGGTTGAACCCCTGAAGGTCGATCGGCACTACGATGACTGCCCTCAACGTCAGACCGATTTGTAAGCCACCAACAGCGGGGCTCCAAGACACACACTTTGAGCTTTACACCACCAGGTCAATAACCCCTGACTGGCACATTTTCCCTCTACACAGCATTGCATCGGATAATTCTACACACAGCCCATCACTACATTACTACATATTACGAGGTCTTGAAGGAGGACCACCAGTGTAACCACCCTTACGTCATACACCACGCGCACACAATGACCAAAATCGGTGTCTTTCCTGCAGCAGGAGGACTGGGGACCAGCATCCTCAAACACCTCGTCAAGCTGGTGCCTGCATCGGAACTGATCCTGATCGCCCGCAAGCCAGATAATCTCGCAGAACTCACGCGGGCCGGAGCAACCGTCCGACGGGCCGACTATGAAGACCCCGCCACGCTAGAGCGCGCCTTCGATGGCATCGACGCCCTGATGTTGATCTCGTATGCCTCGTTCGAGATCCAGTTCCGCTTCGAGGTAGGTAGCCGTGATGATCTCGCGCCGAGATGATGCTGATCCGAGACAGGCGCATAAGAACGCCATCGATGCTGCCCGCCGCAGCGGCGTCAAGCACATCTTCTATTCGTCTCTCGCCTTTGCAGGCGATCTAGAGGAGACTAGCGTTGCGCACGTGATGGGCGCCCATCTGCGGACCGAAAAGTATTTGGCCGAACTTTCCGGGCACATCACCTACACCGCTATCCGGGAGGGTCTGTACTCGGAGTCCTATCCGATCTACACCAGCTGGTTCGATATCCACCACCCCGCAGACGAGATCGCGATCCCTCACTCCGGCGACGGACCGGGCGTTGCGTGGGTGAAACGTGACGAGCTGGGCGAGGCCACGGCGAAGCTGATTGCAGACTATGCCAAGAATCCGGCGGGGTTCCCCTACCTGAACCGCGTGCTCTTGCTCTCCGGCCCCAGGGAGATCTCGCTGAAGGAGACTGTTGAAATTCTCGGCCAGGCCGTTGGCAAGCCCCTCCGCTTGCGGGAGATCTCTGTTGACGAGTATGTGGCTTTGCCACAGCACGGATCAAAACACACCTACCACGGTATCGATTTGACAAGGGAATGGGCAACCGCGTGGGATGCGATCCGTCGTGGGGAGACGGCTGTGGTGTCGCCGCTCCTGAGGGAGCTCTTGGGACGAGAACCTGAGAGTTTTGAGACGACAGTACAAGCGTTGGCTAGGAGCAAGTAGATAGCTTACCACAATTCCTTTGATCCCATCCTGTCTTTGCATGGCCACCGGGAAGCCTGTGAGGTAAATGCCGCCTGTGTCGTAGATCTGAAGTCTCGTGCGGGGGATGCCCCTCTTTACCGGCATCCTATCTGCCGAAGTCGATGAGGTCGGCTTTGCACCCCCGACGACAGGATAAAGTCCGATACACTCTTTAGCAGCACGTTGATGACCGGGAGTAGGTTTCCTGCCGCTGTGACATAAGACGCAGGAGGAACAACCGACACACCCTGCCGTCATCCGGGATAATTCTCATCCGCCCTCAGAGTGAGGTCTTGGACCGGTTCCCCCACGGCATCGTACAGTAGTGCACCCGCCGGGCGGATAGCAGCCGGGGTGTGCTGACCTCGAGCTGGTTTCTGGGAAATTGGCAAGCCCGGGCCCCGCGGCAACCCAAACTTGTGGTGGTCAGAGCTTGTGGATCTCGGTGACGCCGTTGCAGAACAAGATGAGGCTCGACTAGATCTAATCAGTTCAGCACTCTGGTGGTGCTCTATCCACATTCCATGTAGACACGTCTGACGCAATTGTTCAGCACCACGTCTGAACCTCTGCAGCTGCTCAACATCATCATCGCGCCAATCCCAGGCCACATTTGACGTTCTGGCACACTCATTCGTTTGTTCACATCTTATCGGTCTTAGTACAGCTAACAACATAATCAGCTGTAAGTCGATTGAGAGTCATCGTGTTGCGGGGTTACTATTCTGGGCTGGTGCGATGAAGCTAAAGCCTAACCTTGTTCTCACAGCCAAGGGGGGCACCTTAAAGCGAACATTAATAATGTCGAGCATAATCCTGGATCAATTCTGATCAGTCATCACCCAAATCGGTAGGGCTGACAAGCACTGGCCGGTGCCTTATCCGAAACCATCAGTCAGATGCCGTCCACCCTCGCCGAGTTTGACGTATACAGAGTCTGGTGGCCCAAGGCACACCAGGCGTCTCGTGCGTCGGGAAAGACCTAACCGGAGACATGCTACAAGGTCAGCTGCCAGATAAACCAGAATTGAGTCATGAGAACAAGAGCAATCCCAGTGTCTCGGGCGAGATGATCGGGCAGAGCTGGTCATCAAAATCACCCGAGGGGGGTTAGCAGGCATACGACCGACGACGAGAATTCTTCTGCAATCCTTGGCGATCTCAAGCCACAGCGAGTGTATCGCAGAGCATCGTCGCACTAAGGAAGGGGTTCTGAAGATGCCGGATCACACCACTGGTGGCATTGCAGCAGACCCTGGGCACCCGGTATCCGGTCCGCCTGGTAAGACTATTTGGGGGAGGAAATACTTTTGGGGGGGAGAGAGCAAAGAACCTTACTCAATGAGGTTATTTTCTCCACGTCTGAAGCCGAGAAATTTACTAGCGTCCGCGCTGGACCAGTGGGTAGTGTGGTCGGAGATTTTATGTATGTCACTTTTCGTAGGAGAATTTTTATTCTTAGGACGCTGACTATAGCGCCAACCGGGTTGGTGGTTCCGAGGGCGATTTACCGTGGATAGATTCCGTCGATAGCGCGCCAGCCAGCCCTTATTTTTGCCAGCTTTTGTGGTAGCGGGAAGAGGGGCGATGGGGACCTCCCGAGACGTCATGGCGGGTAACCACAGCTAGGAACCTTGGGCGGATTCATCATCGTTGCGATTATCATTAGGTCAAGGGAATTGGAGGAAAAGGAGGTTGCGAGCACTCCCAATATTCCAGGAGACAGGCTAGACCCCTCGGTCGGCTGCGAGATTGTGTGTGTGAGAGAATAAAATGGGAGGCGATGCACTCTGTCTCTCCACCTGAATGGGGTTGCTGTGGCCCACTAACCTGGTCTGTGTTCCTTCGGAGTACCCGCGGGAGATGAAAAAAAAAAAAAAAAAAGGGACGGAGGGAGAGCTGAAGAGAGTAAAGTAGATACTGTAGTGGATTGGGATAGACCGGGATAGTACATCCATAGTATGGCTAATCATGTACGGCGTCGTGGCCAGAGCAGGAGTTAACTGAGTAGTAAGCGAGACGGTCGAAAAATTGAGGATGTGAAATGCCGATTGTTGGCCACCTGACTGGTCGAGATGGACAGTAAGGGGTACTTCATTGCCAATGACCGTTTCGTGATTGGTGGATGCGACCATCCTGGGGGAATGAAAACATACTTACACATACTACATCATCGTATGTGGCAAGTAGTATTAGTACTTTGGCTCTTCCAAGATGGTTTTGTTTGTTACACCCAGTGTCGTACAGTTCGGTTTATTCAGGAGGGACTCGGGACGGAAAGGGAGCTGTGCAGGTGGTCTGGCTTGTCATCTGTAACCCCGTCATTGCCTCCGACAGATTACTACTACTTAGTACTTGTGTATGACTGCCGGAAGCGAATCAACTGTGAGCATAAGAATTTGCCAGGGAACACAAGGGACATACAGGAGCAGCCATGAAGGCCAGAACAGACCCACTTGCGGCCGCAATTGAGGGTACCTGAACTATGGCGGCCTAAGGCAGCTGGGATTGGCAAATACTACGTAGACAATATCCAGACACTACAAAGATACTAGTAGATGGGGACTGGAGTATTGCCCCTCGTCTAGTAGTTTCAGTCTACGTAGGTGGCCTCCAACTTGAGGTTTACCACATGCATCGGTCATGTCTATGAAACGAAGAAATCAACATGTGCCGAACGGATGAAATAACTGCAACAGGCAAGCGAGCGACATTATGGTCGCCCTCGTGAAGAAAATCTAGGCAGGCAGGGATAAGATTAATTCCGTATTTGACTGTTGCCATTTTGGTCAGTGAGTTGAGTGTATGGAGTAGGAGATGGAGAAGTCATGTTGGACAAAGGGGAGTAAGTAAGTAGGAAAAGGGAAAAAAAACAGAAAAATCATTTGTCCAGCTGTTCTTACTGTACTTCTATCGATCCGGCCGAAGATGTCGGAGCCGAGACTCGGCCGCGGCGGTACTTGGCGGGGAACTAAACCAGAAAAGGTATAGTCAGCAAACGAAAGGGAAGCCAGTCCAACGGTTGTGCATCGATCGATCCACCGATCCCGCCCTCCACGGCTCTCCAATCCGTCCTTTTCTCTTGATTTTTTCCTTTTTTATTTTATTTTGATTTTCCTATTTTCTGGCGAGAGTCTAGTACGTACTCTACTGAGCTGTAGTTTGCCTCAGCTCTCTCCTGCTGAGCTTTCCCCTGCTTCCCATTCACTCCCTCCCCCCAAATGGGCCTTCCGACGGCAGACATCGGAGCCGACCGAGGCTGGATGCCCTGCATCCGGCTGGGGTGATCTCTCGGTGCCCCTTCACCGGCCCTGTGCAATTATCGTTTCGACAATGGTCATGGCTTTTCTTGCGCGTCTCCAGTCCAATTATGCTGGCCCTCATTATTCTCGCTGGCCGTGAATTTTTCGACCGTTGCAAGCCATTACATCATTGCGTCTCGGCTGGCCTGGCGATCGGTTTCTGACACCGGCTTCTCCTGAAACCTTCCACCTTTATATAGTCCATCCCCCGATGTCTTCTACTGCCTAGCATCCTTCCGATCCACGGTTCAATATCAAACAGCTTCTTTATATTTACCCTTCTCTTGCCTCCTCAACACTCTTCTACTTGCCACTCGACCTTGACTGTCAACTCGACTATCAAGTTTGCCTCCCACACCAAGTACTATCAGACCATCCACATCGTCATCCATCCAATTCAACCCCGTCCAAGTCCACTAGTATGGCATACCCTAGGCCCGATTCCTTCTCGTTAGACGACGAGCGGATGTACAGCATGAGCCATCCGAGCCCACTCACTCGTCCCAATGATACCTTCGCCAAGGGACCCGATCCTCTGTCGGCTAACTGGAGCTACGACAATGCCATCGATCTGTTCTCCCTCAACACCATGATGCCGGAGACTTTCCCCTTGGAGATGTCCAACGAGATGATGAACTTGGACCCCAAGGATTTTCCTGCCGACTTCTTCGCCCCACCCCCAGATATCAGTGCGTTCACCATCTCCAACCACTCGGGTGAAGATGCTGCCTCCTGCGGGTCTCTCTCATCGGTATGTCTATCTCCATCAGCATTGAATGATGAACCATAACTAACATATACTCAATAGGACCTTGACAGTGATGACCAATCATGGTCTCCTACCTGCCGTGTCTCTCCCATTGAGCCTATCCACATGGAGCTGCCTAAGCCCGCTGCTCGTACTTCCAAGACATCTACTCGTCGCAAGACGACGTCTCAACCGAAGGCTCGCGAGGTTACCGCGACAAGATGGTCGTCCAGTCCGGAAATTACACCGCAGGACTACCCCGCCACCAGTGTCTCACCCCCGCCCGCCCCCTCCTCCCCTGCCGCCAACAACAACACCGCCCGCAAGACCACCCGCAGTCTGTCCAGCGACTCCAACGCCAGCACGGGTCAGGCCCAGACCACCACCGGCCGCAATGCGGCGAAGCGGGCGGCGCACAACATCATCGAGAAGCGGTACCGCACGAACATGAACGCCAAGTTCGTCGCCCTGGAGAAGGCGATGTGCGGCGGAGTCCAGAAGCCCACCAAGGGCGGCTCGGCGTCGCTGAAGAAGTCGGAGATCCTGACCAATGCCATCACCTTTATGCAAGAATTGCAGGAGGAGAACAAGGCGCTCCAGAAGGAGCTTGCCATGCTCAAACAAAGCATGGTTCCGAACGGGATGTGGCGACATAGCAAGGGGAGTGAGGCGTTTCACGCATAAGCCCAGCGGCGATGCGTTGTTTTGTCTCTGCCCAGATATCCCCTTGTAATGACCGTCACGTATACTGTATATTAATTATGATTTTCTTTTCTTCTGTTCCTTACATCTTACTACAAGATCTGGGAGTTTGTTTCATGGCCCTCTCCTGTCGTGGGCGGCGAATTATGGGATGAAATGGTGTTGTGTTGATATATACCCGGAGATAAAAGTTCGACCTAATCCACTCACTACTTTACAATATTCCTTATTCTTTAAAAATAATATGTAATACTACCTACAGAGTAGACACCCACAGAAAAAATAAAAAAGAAAGACCTAGACCGAGTTACCCGTCCCTGGACCCATCCCATCCCATCCCAACTAAAAGTTAACCCATCAACTCCATCCGTTACACCGACAAGGCGCAAACCCCGCCCGTCCCCTCCCCATCAACCCAATTGATCCAGCCTTGCGAGATTTCTCCTAACAACCAAAATCATCATAGATACCCAATGAACACAGAATCATTCTTTTTTGAAATAGTGACAGCTTCGCACTAATTTCCTACTTAATCAATTCATTAAATGTAGTATTAAAATTCAAACCAGCCCCGCCCTCTTCTCCCCGAGCTCGACACACCCTCCCAAAACAAAACACAACAAAACAAAAAAAAAAAAAAAAAAAAAAATGTTTCGATTCTAGAACGTCCTGGCTGGCCCGACCGATCCAGACCGGCCGATAATTCCCGCCCAGCCGACAATCCACCATTATTTGCTTTTCTCCATGTAATGTAGATAGCTTCTGGCCATGGTTGGAGGGGATGTCGTCATCGAATCATACCTTAGGTTTACTTGTTGGTTTATCTGAAGATACATTAAAGATGTACCTGATGGAAGTTCTGGACCACATTTGTTGTAGATAGCTGGTTGTCGCTTACTAGTATGTACTTAGTGTCTGTGATCTGGTCTGGTCTGGTCTGGGCGGTCTGCAACTGCACTGCACTGAGCGGAGATGAGATGAGATTTATGCATTGTGATAGATGGAGGTAGGGAAGTGCTCGGTCGTTGCCTACTCGCTTCATTTCTTTTCTTCTGTTGAGACTTCATTCTAGACCTGCTTCTAGATGGGCGATGATGGGCTGTGAAGAGTGAAGTGAGTGACTGATGGATGGATGGAAGGGAAAAGGGAAGTCGATGAGGCTGTAAATATCTCCCTCTAGTACACTATTGTCGGCCTGTGTGAGTGAGTGTGGGTATAAATTGATGTATACTATGCTACTACTATTCAAATGTGTTGTTTTCTAAAGAGAAAAGACTACTACGATACATACAATTTCCCTCTATTAGTACTGTCATCTACTCTGGTCTTTCCATACTGCTGTGTACAACAACTCCTTACATCCGTCGAACACATATCCAAAACACACCCAATCACAATGCCCAACACCACATCGAGTACAAGGTATTTACTTTTACCATCTTCGTTATAATACCATCTCTTCATGGTATAGTAACCAGAGGAAAGACAAAGGCTAATTCTTGAATAAAACATATCCTCGAGGAAAAAGTACCACGCGATCTATCACATCTCACTCTACACATACCGATACAAGCGCAGAGACGGGAACACAAAGTGAAACGACGTCATCGGATACATGTCAGAAACCTACGCAGAATAGGAAGCACAGAAACATGGAGAATATTCTTCGGTATCGGGACGGGCCGGAGTGGGAAGATCCATATTGTCTTGTGGGGATAGAGGGAAGAGGGCAGGGGAGGGTTACTCGGATGGAAGAGGAGATTCGGAAAGTGGATGAGGTGTTTGGGTTTGGTGTTGATGATTAGACAAATCACTATTTTAGATGTTGATAGAATATACCCGGACATGTATGAGGAATATTAATTGATTGGATACTTGCATGGACGAACAGTAGTAATTATGGTCATTCTTTCATAAGACTGTGGCAATTGCTACTTGGCTGATTTCCTAGCTTCAGAACTCCCTCCTCCATACTCGGTGAATCTTACCCCGAATGGTAGTATATGTACAAACTCTCCCAGACGTATGTATGTATCTCAGTCACGAACTCGACATTCACTATTCTAAGAAAGCTGCACCGATTCCAGCAGCCGGTATTCTGGACGGATCTGGAAACTAGTCTCAATTCGCAAATACGACCACAAGATTGGGTATATTTTCCTGTCCCTTGTGGATATCCTCCCGATGAGAAGCATGAATCTAGGATACTGATGATATTCCAGCCCCCGCAAATCTCTTAGAAGGCGAAAATGGAGTTGTGTTCACCTAGTCTCTTTGAATTCGTTGATTTGCTGTAACCCTTCGTCGGATAAGATGTTGTAGATCTAAAAAAGGTATTGAGAGAAGTGATAGAGTGACTGGAGTCGATATCTCAATGATCTTCATAAATGCCGATGAGAGTGTCCGCGGTGTCAAATAAAGATTTTTTGTGTGAAACTTTGTTTGGATAGCTTCACATATCTGATTGAGAGAAAAGGAATTCTCAGAGCAATATATGAAAAAGAAGAAAAGAGAACAAAAAAGAGAAATGGATATAATACGAGTGGGAGATTTGCCTCACAGTGAGAGACCTCGGGAAACATGTATAAGCAAGATTAGCATTGCAGATCTATACTGGAAGATGGGTGTTTTTTGTCGAACTTTTTCAGAAACGACGCACCTTTGGTTGGGGATGAGATGGAGGCAGAAATGGTCTTGGAAGCCACAGAAAAACAAGATGATCATATAAGTCCGCATACATCGATCCTTGAATCAACAACGTGCGGCATCAGGCGCGGCGGCAGCCTGATATGGAGTATTTATAGGGCACAACAAGGATGATGCAGTAGATGTGGTTAAATCTGTACTTTCTTTCAACTTCTATTGTGGAACCGGCTCTAAAGTGTTGATCCGGGAATGATAAGGTATCCGATTTGGTTCTTGGACCCGATTTCGCTCCCTGACTTCGCTAGATATTCGGAGCATCGGAGGGAGCGTCCACCAGAGCTTTGCGGGCGGCATCCCATCGTTCAATTTTGATGCGAAGGGCTTCGTTATGTTCACGTTCTAATTCTTATAGTTGTGTAATTTCTTCTCGTAGTTCTATCTTACGCAACTTTTGATCATCGGTAAAATCCCTTATAGAGGATAAAACCCCTTCCGGGACTATGACTCCAGCGTCTTCTAGTGTATCAATTATCTATACATTTAGTTAGTATCAATATCTATGAATGATATAACAGTATGTTATCAGATCAATAATAATAATACATAATCTTCTAATATAGAGAACTTACTTTAGACCGCTCAAGCTGTATCTAAGTAGACCCGCGAGGAGTAGAAACAGCAGCAGTAGCCCAGGAACATTTTTAGTAAATAGTTAGATATATATGTAATCATCTTGAGCGAGGAATAAAAGATTAATACTTTTCTTATTTATTACTAGAGTTTATTAAAAAATAACTTACTATGTATCTTGATATGGGGGGGAAGGCAGGTTGTAGATAATAAAAAGAAGAAAAGAAGAAAAGAAAAGGATAAGATAAGAAAGAACTATATAGAATATTATGGGTCCTATACCCTGATATCCTAAAAGTGTCTGGTCGCGCTTCACACAAGGTGAATATAAGAGGGGTTGTCACACCATTGAGTGTCTCTTGCGAGTTCCTGGATACTGGTAATCTGAGCAACGTTTTCTTCTTTCTGCCATATTGTGTACCAGTCTTTGATGGCTCGCGATTTTAGGCTTCACTGTACTAGAGTTTCACTAAAAGAGAGTAGGAGTAAACAAAGCGCCCTGTCTCAATGATCATCTGGCCATCAATGGTGGCGTGTTTGTAGACTTGCTTTACCAAGCTCAGGCTTAGGTAGCACTGGCTGAAAAGCCTATTTTAGTATTTGTCTTATCGCTGTTGGATCTTTTAGAACCTCTGTTCCGGCAGCGATGTTAGTTTCTGGTTGATTTCATTGAACGTTGGTACTTGTGGTCGGTCGTTCCACGAAGAGTGGTTCATGTCTCTTTCTCGGAAAGTTCTAAGCGTCCAGAGGATGCTCTGGGCCTACAATGCTTCTCTTCTCAGCTGATACCCTGGGTCTGGCACACCACATCCTGAAACCAGTGATTGCCACGGAAATGTAAGCACATTGTTCAGAGCCAGCAAACCACTGCGTCGACGAGAAACCGATCTTTAGGCAAGTGCTCGCCGGGTACCTGCTACAAGATCAGCATTATGCGATAGATAATGGAATAATAGACTAGAAAAACACACCGATTCGCAAGAGTGACACCAATGTACACTCACGCATAGATCGGGTTGCGTGGATGGAATGTGTATTTTCCCAGACCAATGAGTGGACGGAACCGCATCGAAGGGTAAAAGCTAAGGTAGAACTTGGATACACGTGTAAACAGCTCTATCTTTAACTGTCCAAGTGGATCAGTTGCTAAGTGCTGTCATGCTCAGACAGTCGGTTTGTTTGGAAGGGAACTTGCGCGCAGGTCATCCATTCTTCCTTTTTAGTGTAGCCAGTGATCAATACTGGACCAGGTCGATGAATATAGAATGCAATAAACCCAGGCGTTTGATAGGTGAACGTAGGGCGCTAATTTCGGATTCCATATCTTTTCCTTGCTCCAGTACAATGGCGTTCTATAAGGCGAACCACCACATTCACGTAATTATGACAATCCCGGCATTGAATGCCCAGTATGTTTTAAGTTGGTATGAACTGTTTGTCAGGTATATATCTTGGATTCTCAGATATAGACCAATCTGCAAAAATTTATCCGCGGCAAAGATTCTTGCAGCGCGCTTTACCTAATAAATAACTGCAACTAGAGCAATGTATACGTAAAGGCCACACGGGCAATATTCTGGTGCTGCCCGATATCTCTTATAGGAGAAATCTGCACCTTCTGTAGGTTTTTTCAATGAAGACTTCTTGAAGTTGATAGATTTATGGGCAGTATTGTGTATCATGGCTAGAGATGGACGCTCCGTTTT